ATGGACGCCGCCAACTGGGCGAACCTGTTCTACGCCTTGGCTCACCTATCCGGCTGCCTGCGGCAGGCTGCGCAACCGCTCAGCCGCGCGTAATGGGGGTAGGGGGGCACCCCCGAGTAGCGCAAGAATCGCGACGGGAGGTGTTTTGCTGTTCTCGGCCTCTGGGGGCCCTCGCGGGGCCCCAGGACCGTCAAAAAACGACTCGGGACCGTCCGGGGGAATGGGTCGAGACTTCTGGATATCGACAATTGTGGAAAAATCATGACGTCGGCGGTAAGTGGGATTGGGGCGGACTGGGCGGAGGGTTGGTCGGCCACGCGAAGAGGGGGGAGACTTCGTAGTGTAGAAGGAGGCTACTTACTTCTTAGAGGACGCGTGCACGGTACAGCCTCCTTCTAAAAAAGCCTTCCCCCCTCCACCTTCCCCTTTTGTGCGCGCCGCCAAACCGTGCCCAGGGCAGCACTGCGCGGTGGCGCCTCGAGGTACCGCGACAGGCCGCATCGTGTGGCACGTCTCGCCTCCCGTTCTAGGGGACAGGAGCATGACGACGAAATGATGATCGCAACCGCCACCGCGCGCGGTATGGTGAACACTCTACGGGCCAGGCGGGCCAGGGTCGCAAACATAAGAGCCCGTTTCCTTATTGCTTGGGGCATGACGGGCGTCATGGCCCGAGTCTGGTCCGCAGTCGTCGTCGTCGTCGTCGTCGTCGTCGTCGTCGTCGTCGCTCGTGGCTTGTCGCTCGTCGCTCACAGTCGTCGTGCGCCCGGACACGGCTGAAGCCTGTTTTTTATTCCGGGCCGATGACGGCAATCATCTAGGGGGGTGATGTGGTCGATGTCGTCACGTTTCGCGCCAGCGGCGTCTGGGAATGCCTAGGAATGACGGAGGACGGGTAGCGCCAGCATGTAGGTGGCGATTTACACCACAACGCCTGTGTACACCACAGTGCCTGCGTGCACCACAGCGCCTGTGTACACCACACCGCCTATGTACACCACAGCAGCCGCGTGCAACACAGCGTCAGTTTGTGCCACCGTGCCTGCGGGCACAACAGCTCTTGTGCACACCACAGCGCTCGCGTACACCACATCAGCCGTGTGCAACACAGCACCAGTGTACACCACAATGCCTGCTCGCATTGCAGTGCCTGTTTGCACCACGGCGCCTGTGCACACCACAGCAACCGTGTGCGACACAGCACCACTGTTGTATATAAAATGTTCGAACGAATCCTTATGACAAAATGGAGCGCTTGTGGATCCCACAGAAAACAATCTAACACAATTGGCATGGACATCGGAGCGCCACTGGAATCTACGAGTCCTCCCGAGTCCGCCCGCATCACCCTAAGTCCTCCCATCTGCGTCCAGGAGGCTCCAGCTAAATTGGCCGTCCGAGAACCAAGTGGACCGATTCAATAGACCAGTTTGCGGTGCGCTGAGATGCGCACGTGCGCTGTAGCGCCAACCCGCACGACAGGGGGTAAGGAGGCGGAGGAGGAGCAAGAGGAGGAGGAGGAGGAGGAGGAGGTGGTGGAGGTGGAGGTGGAGGGACGAGGGAATAACGTCGCATTCGATTATCAGCACTTTCCTGGCGTGGCGTCTAGTTGTCCGCAGCAGATCCTCACGTACATGCTCGTTCTACTTGTCTTATGCACGCAGGCATTGTGGTGTACACCAGCGCTGCGTTGCACGCGGATGCTGTGGTGTAGAAGCGCGCTGTGGCGTGCAGAGGCGCTGCGGCACATGTACACTGGCGCAGTCGTGTACGCAAGCAACGTGGTGTACACCGGCGTTGCGTTGCACACGGCTGTGGCAGTGTACGCAGGCGCTGTGGTATACACGCGCGCTGTGGTGCACGCGAGCGTTGCGGTGTACATAGGCGCAGTGGGGCATATCGCCACCTACATGCTGCTCGCGTCGTCGTCGTCGTCCTCGTCGCTCGTCGCTCGTCGCTCGTCGCTCGTCGCTCGTCGCTCGTCGCTCGTCGCGTCGCGCGCGCGGGCGCGGCTGCAGTGCCAGAACCACACGGCGGGGGGGGGACGTTACGTCATACCGCCCCTCGCCCCCCACCCCCATGACGCCCGTCATCGCCGAACATAAAGAAACGCGCTCTAAGATGTTCAACAGAAGATGTACACTGGGTTTCGGGCAAAACCCTTGACCCTTCGTGTACATACGTCTGGCTCTCATATTCCTCGAGGGGTTCTCATGGGCCGTTTTGGGGGCGTCTTGTGTTCCTGTGGGGCCCTCTTGGCGCCCTCTTGGGGGCCCTCTCGGGGCTTCTTCATGCCGTTGTGGGCAGTACTTGGCCATTCTCGGCCGTCTCTGGAGTCTTTCGCGGCTGCCTTGCGGACCAATTGGGCACTTTGAGGCCCTCGTGGGCTGCCTTGAGGCACTCTTGGGCCGTCTCGGGGCCCTCCTGGGCCGTCTGGGAGATTTTTGGAGTCCTGCTCGGGTTCGTTCGGCTGCGATTTGTCCCCCTCGAGCCTCTCTCGGAGTTATCTTGAGCCGCGAGGCCGGTGGAACCATGGAATTCATGTTTGGGCCTTCTGGACTTCTGGATGGCTTCTCAGCCCTCTCTTTAGTTTATGTTAGGGAATGTCTTGCGTTCCCTTCGGCGTTTCTTGGAGTCTTTTTGGAGACGGTTGAGTGCCCCTTGAGGCAACCTTTGGCCATCTTCGTTGAGCCGACTTGGAAGCCTGGGAGGGTGGATCTCGGAGAGCCAGAGGGAGGCGTCGGGCCGCCCAGGGAGCCTCGGGAGGGAGGATGGGGTGTGCGATTCGGCGGCGAGCGAGGGGGGGAAGCGAAGGAGGAGAAGGCCTTTTCAGAAGGCGGCGGGGCTTCTCAGAAGCCCTCGCGCCTTCTGGGAGGGTGCTCTTGTCGTCGGGGGAGTTTCAGAAAGCTTCTCAGAGGGCCGGGGGACTTCCGAACCTTCTGAGAAGGCCTTCTCCTTCACACTTCCCCCCCTCGCTCGCCGCCAAGTGGTATGAGAGGGGGGAGGCCCATACCAGATCTACGGAAGCCCAGCAATCAGCTCTTGACATCACGGTCGGACCGAGGTGTAAGATCGAGGTCGGCTCGGGGAGGGTGAATTGTTTTCGCTTCGCGAGTCCCGACCAGCCCACTCAAGAGCCTTGTCCATGAGAGCTGACGGGAAAAAGCACGAAGAGGCACATATAATGAAACAGAGCGTGCAAGGAGAGGAGAGGAAGGAAGGTGTCGAGCCATTTTGAAGGCTATCTTGGAGCATCGGAGGCCTTTTTGGTGCTACGGGGCTGTATTGGGGGGCTCTTGCTTGGGATCCTCTTGGAGCTCTATTGGAGCATCTTGGGGCCCTCTTGGGGCTCTTCTCGAGGTCTTGGGGTCCTCTTGGTGCTCTTTTGAGGCGCCTTGGAGCCCTCATGGGACCCTTTTGGGGCCCTCTTGGGGCTCTTTTGGGGCCCTCTTGGGAGCAATGGAGCGCCTCCTGGGGCCATCTTGGAGACCATCGATCAACGGAGGGGGCGTGCTCGATTTCCCTCCCCCCTCCGGGGCCATCGAAATAGCGTATTGGGGCGCTCTTGGGGCACTTTTGGGGCGATCTTGGGCGTTCTTGGGGCAGTCTTGGGGGCCTCTTAGGTCCTTGGAGATGTCTTGGGCCATCTTAGGGCCATCTTGAGGCCTCGAAAGCGCATCGGAAGCGGACAGGCGAGAAGGCAAACATCAGTGGTGTTCCATAGGTTTTTGAAGGATTTCGGCTTCTCGGAGAGGTCCTGAGGGGTGGCCAAAAGCACTTGGATCCGTCTTGTGGCCTTCTTGGGGTCTCTTGGAGGCATGTTGTTAGCTATCTTGAGTCATGTTGGGCTATCTTGGGCGATCTTGGAGGCCATCTTGGGCTCTCTGAGGCCCTCTTGGAGCGATCTTGGGCCATCTTGGACGCTCCAACCCCGCGCGACCCCCCCCGTCCAGGTCCAGGGGATGGGGTAGGGGGACGGGTCAAGTTACCCACCCGCCCGCAAGCCGTCTAGCTCACTCCCACCCGCCCTCCCAACACATACGTAGCACCCGAGTCTGGCCCGAGCCTGAGCATATGCAGCAGTCGTCTTTGGATGGGCAGCGACTGGGGGCCAATCCGCCGCCGCCGCCGCCGCCTCCACCGCCGCCGCCGCCGCCGCCGCCGCCGCCGCCGCCGCCCGCCGCCGCTGCCCGCCGCCGCCGCCGCCGCGCCGCCGCCGCCGCCGCCGCCGCCGCCGCCCGCCGCCGCGCCGCCGCCGCCTTCCGCCGCCGCCGCCGCCGCCGCCGCCGCGCCCCCCGCTGCCAAACCGCCGCCGCAGCCGCAGCCGCTGCCGCCACCGCCAACCGCCGCCGCCGCCGCCGCCGCCGCCGCCGCCGCCGCCCCCGCCGCCGCCGCCACCGCAGCCGCAGCCGCCGCAGCCGCCGCCACCGCCGCCGCAGCCGCCGCAGCCGCCGCCGCCAAGTGTACCCTGTATTGTTTTTTGACAGGGATGGTGGGGGTGGGCCGCATCGGGTTGGCTGCGCATGTTTTGAATTTGGAGGCAGAGTGTGTTTTGTATTGTTTTTTACAAGGGCTGATTTGGGGGGGTTGGCATGGACCCTGGTTAGCCCCCAGTCGCCTGGGGGAGGGGGTGTTTATTCATCGGGAACAGTGATAAACCCCCTCCCCGAAGGGGAGGAAGGGGGTTGTGGAAGAGGAAAGAAAGACATCGTTAGACCACCTGTCGCTCAGAGGGCTGGTGGGGCTACTGTTTTTCATGTTTGTTGGATGTTCGTGTGAATCCTGGGGGAGGGTACCCTCGAATGCTCTTGATTTGGGCCGGCGGAGGGTCTCGTGTCCTTGAGGGATGTCCTTCTGGCCTAGGTCCGTCTGTCCACTACGTCTCAACGTGCCATGGGGGCACGGTGGCGGATTCAAGCGCGAAAGCCACCGCAAGAAGTCGTCGATCCTTGGCGACGCCCGCTGGGCGCAATCCTGCACCGCCCTGCGCGCTGTGCTCCAGGAGCTCACGGCGCGGGACGTCGCGAACGTGCTTTGGTCGCTGGCGACGCTCGAGGCCAGAGGCGACGAGCTGTTCCTGGAGGCCGCCGACGCCCTGTGCGACAGCATCGAGGAAGAGAATGGCATAAGCATAAGCTTTCGAAGCTCCGCACGGGTTGCTCGGAATGGTGCTGGGCCCCCTCGCGGCGCCTCCGGCGCCGCCCCGGGCATCCAGCACCGCTGCGAGAGAACCTTGCAGATTTGCGAAAGTGTATGGTAGCTGCGTGTGCTGTCTTTTTGTTCCTCTGGCAGCAGCAAACTGTCCGTTTGCGACCCTGTCAGCGTGTCTAAGGCGGCCTGGGCGCTGGTGGGCGTGCCTAGCAGGGACCGGCGCCTGCAGTTGTTCTCGCGGCTCTCCGCTCCGGTCGTCCTGAGGGCAGACGCGTTTCCGTTGGGAGCGCTCACGATGACCGGGTACGCTTTCGCGAAGGCCGATCACCGCGGCGCCGACGTGTACGAGGCCTTGTCGGCGGCGGTTGTGCGTTTCCCGGACGAGGATCTGCGCCCCATCGACGTGTGCAATATTATTTGGGCGTTCTGTACGGTGGGGTTTCGAGACGACGAGCTGTTCACGCGGCTGTGCACGGGACACCTCTTGCGCGAGGACTCCGTGGCCCGCTTCAATGCGCAGGATATCACAAACATCATGTGGGGATTCTGCAAAGTTGTCTTCATGCATGGAGACGCCATGGCCGAGCTGGCGCGGGGGAGCCTCAAGATTCACGACCAGTTCAAGCCCATTCACCACGCGAACTTGCTGTACTCGTTCGCCACGCTGACCCTGCGCGGCCCAGCCGGCTTCCTGGGCGCCATGGCCGACTCCGCTCTGGCCAGGGTCGACGGTTTCGACTGCGGGAATCTGGCAATCGCGGCCTGGGCGCTGGCGCTCGGGAGGGATGGAAAAGAGTATCAGTGACGCGCGCGTCGTCCATCAAACCCTTTGCATCGCTCGGAAGTGTGCATTGTTCTCGGCGGGAAGCATCAAGGAGCACATTGCCTCTTCTTGCGAAAATTACGTGCGCGAAACCGAACAATGCACGGGGAATGGACGTCCGAACGATGGCAAGAAACCGTGCATGTGACTCGTTCGTTTTTTGCGCACGGGCCTGGCACCTCTTCATCAGTGGCATGCAGATGGGGTCGTCCGACCAGCGTGACTCTGATACTGCTCTCGGCACAGTGGAAACCCATGCCAAGAAACACCCTGCTCGCCGACAGGTTGCCCTGCGTTTCTTAGGTTTAGATGGTTTTGCGATGGAAGACGTGACGTTCCCACACCAAACATCAATGGACGTCCTGGGGTTCCAGTATCGGGTTTCTTGTGGAAGGTTTTTCGTTGTCGAGCTCCTGCGGTTTTCCTCAGGGGCAGGGTCAGGGGGGGAAAGACCCCACTGGAGATGCATCGGCCCCAAATCGCCCACTCATCGCCGACAGGGGCCCGACAGCACACCCCGCGCAGGGACGGTTCGGATTCGCTGCCGGGGGCCTATCGCAGATCAATCGGCGATGCATCGCCGATTCCAGGTCGAGGTTTTCCCCCCTGAGTCGGCCCCCCCCTCACGTTTCCCCTGGAACCCCTCATCTCCGAGGCGCGGCTCCAAGTGCACCACCCGCTGATGGACTCGATCCATCGCGTGGCCCTCCGCCCCGACGTGTGCGGCAGCTTCACGAGCCGGTCGCTGTCGATGCTGTTCTTGGCGTTCTTCTGCGCGGACCGCGCCCGCCACGTCGACGCCGTGCTGGATGCGGCCCTGGGCAGCGGGGCGCCGGTGGGCGCCTCTGGCTGGTCCGCGGCGCTCATGACAGCGGAGCAGGGTCAGGATGCGGAGAGCGCCAACAGACAGAGGAGGGAACATGCCAACACCGCTGCTCGTCCCAGAGAGTCCTCGTCGCCACGGCTGGATTCTGCTCGAAATTTGAGTGCGGACGCACCCCAGGAGAGGTCGGGGGGGGAGCGGTATTGGTATCGTTCTGCTCGCCCGAGCTGCACACCTGCACCGATCCTGACTGGGCCGATCCCGGGCCCGGGCTCGGTGCATATATGATCCAGGGCTGCGGACCCACGGGCCCCCCCCCAGATGGGATGGAATCCCAGGGCTTCACAGGCTCCCACCCCTGATGAGATGGGGGGACGACGACGACGACGACGACGACGACGACGACGACGACGACGACGACGGCGACGACGACGACGGCGGCGACGACGACGGCGACACCGACGGCGACGACGACGACGACGACGGCGACGGCGACGACGACGGCTACGATGCCGGCGACGTCGACGACGGCGGCGACGACGACAACTGCGACGTCGACGACGACGGCGACGTCGACGACGGCGGCGACGACGACATCTGCGACGGCGACGACGACGACAACGAGGACGACGACGACGGCGACGACGACGACGACGGCGGCGACGACGACGACGACAACGAAGGTGACGACGACGACGTTGACGACGACGGCGACGACGGCGACGACGGCGGTGTCGACGACGACGACAACGACCGCGATGGCGACGACGACGGCGACGGCGACTACGACGACGACGACGACGGCGACTACGACGACGGCGACGTCGACGACGGCGGCGACGACGGCAACTGCGACGGCGACGACGACGACGACGTTGACCACGGCGACGACGACGACGACGACGAAAATGGTGGTGACGACGACGACGACGTTGACGTCGGCGACGACGACGACGGCGACGACGACGACGACGAAGGCGGCGACGACGACGACGACGACGGCGGCCACTTCGACGACGGTGACGACGACGGCGACAGCGTCGACGACGACGACGACGACGGCTGCGACGACGACGGCGGCGACGGCGCCAACGACGTCGGTGACGACGACGACGACGACGACGACGACGGCGAGGATGGCGACGGCGACGGCGATGGCGACGACAACGACGACGGAGACGACGACGACGACGGCGAGGACGACCACGACGAGGGCGACGGCGACGACGACGACGACGAAGACGGCGGCGGTATCGACGACGACAACGACGACGACGGGTATGGCGACCACGACGGCGACGGCGACCGCGACCGCGACTACGACGACGGCGACGGCGACTACGACGACGGCGACGACGACCCCGACGTTGATGACGACGGCGACGGCGACACCTGCGACGGCGACGACGATGACGAGGACGTTGACGACGGCGACAACGACGGCGACGACAACGGCGGTGACCACGACGACGTTGACGACGACGGCGACGACGGCGGCGACGACGACGACGACGACAACGGCGGCGAGGACGACGACGGCGACGGCGGCCACGACGACGACGACGACGACGGCGACGTCGACGACGGCGACGACGACGGCGACGGCGACGGCGACGACGACGACGACGGCTGAGGAGGCGAAGACGACGACGGCGACGACGAGGACGTCGGTGACGACGACGACGACGACGACGACGACGGCTACGGCGACGACGACGCCCGCGACGGCGGCCACGTCGACGACGGAGACGGCGACGACGACGACGACGACGACGACGGCAACGGCGACGACGACGACGACGACGGCGACGACGGTGACGGCGACGTCGACTACGACGATGGCGACGATGACGGCGACGGCGACGACGACGATGGCGACGACGACGGCGACTTCGACGACGACGGCAACGGCGACGACGACGACGACGGCGACGACGGTGACGGCGACGTCGACTACGACGACGGCGGCGATGACGGCGACGGCGACGATGACGACGATGGCGACGACGACGGCGGCGACGACGACGACGACAACGGCGGTGACGACGACGACGACGACGTTGACGACGACGACGAGGACGGCTGCGACGACGACGACGACGACGACCATGGCGGCGACGACGACGACGACGGCGCCACGACGACGCCAACGACGGCGACAACGCCGACGATGGCGACGACGATGGCGACGACGACTACGGCGACGACGGCTCCGACGACGACGGCGACGACGACGACGATGTCGACGACGACGGTGACGACGACGGCGACGACGGCGACGGCGACGACAACGACGACAGTGACAGCGACGACGACGACGACGGAGACGGCGACGACGATGGCGACGTCGACGACGATGACGATGGCGACGACGTTGACGACGACGACGATGACGACGGCGACCTCGATGACGGCGGCGACGACGACAACTGCGACGGTGGCGACGACGATGTCGAGGACGACGACGGCGATGACGACGACGACGACGACGGCGGTGACGCCGACGACTTTGACGATGACGGCGACGACATCGGCGACGACGTCGATGACGACGACGGCGGCGACGATGACGACGACGACGGGGGCCACGACAACGACGACGGCGAACACGTCGACGACGGTGACGACGACGGCGACGGCGACGACGACGACGACGACGGCGGCTGCGACGACGACGACAACTGCGACGGCGGCAACGACGATGACGGGGGCGACGACGGCGGCGACGACGACGACGACGACGGCGGCGGCGGCGACGACGACGACGGAGACGGCGGCGACAACGGCGACGGCGACGACTACGACGACGACGACGACGGCGACGACAGCGGCTGCGAAGGCGACGTCGACGACGGTGGCGACCACGAGAATTGCGACGGCGACGACGACGGCGAGGACGACGACGACGGCGACGTCGACGACGACGACGTTGACCACGACGGCGACGACGGCGGCGACGACGACGGCGACGACGACGACGACGACGGCGACGACGACGACGACGACGGCGGCCACGACGACGACGACGGCGACGACGACGGCGGCGACGGCGACGACGACAACGACGACGACGGCGACGACGAAGACGGCGACGACGTCGACGACGACGGCGGCGACGACGACGACAAAGGCGGTGACGACGACGACGTTAACGACGACGACGACGGCGACGACGGTGGCGGCGGCGACGACGACAACGACGACGACGGCGACGACGAAGACGGCGACGACGTCGACGACGACGGCGGCGACCTCGACGATAAATGCGACGACGACGGCGGCGACGCTGGCGGCCGCGACAACGACGAGTGCGACGACGACGACGACGACGACGACGACGGCGGCGACGGCGGCGACGACCACGAGTGCGACGACGACGATGACGGCGACGCCGACAACGACGGCGGCGACGACGATGTCGACGACGGCGGTGACGACGACGACGACGACCAAGACGACGGTGACGACGGCGACGACGACGACGATGGCGACGGCGACAACGACGACGACGACGGCGACGTCGATGACGGCCACGGCGACGACGACGACGACCGCGACGACGACGACGACGACGACGACGGCGACGACGACGACGACGACGACGGCGTCAACGACGAGAGCGACGACGACGACGACGTCGACGCCGACGACGTTGACGACGCCGACGACGACGTCGGCGACGTCGGCGAAGACTACGACGATGTCGACGACGTCGACGTTGACGACGACGGCGACGACGGCGGTGACGACGACGCCGACGACGACGACGACGACGACGGCGACGACGACGACGACGGTGGCCACGACGACGACGTCGCCGGCGACGGCGACGACGGCGACGACGACAACGACGGCGACCACGACGACGATGACAACTGCGGCGGCGGCGCCGACTGCGGGAGCCTCCGAGGACAACGACGGCGGCCGCGGCGACGGCGACGACCTCCGGAGCTCTCCTGGAGCACCACAGCACCACGCCACACACGCCACACCCACAGCACCACACCACGCCCACAGGTGGGGGGGTGGGACCATCGCGCGGGGGGGTGGACCCGATGGCATCCGCATGAGAGAGGGGGGAGGGGGGGGGCCCAGACCCTGGACCATATGTGCCTTGCCGGCCGAGCCAGAAGGGCGTGATCGCCGGTCCTGGGTCCCAGGGTGGTGGGCCTGGCCAGGATCGGTACAGATTTACATCTGGCACCCTCCCAAGGATCCCGACCGAGAGTGGAGATTCCTGCGCGCCTTCGCCGAGGAGGTCCAGGATGAGCGCATGCAGGCGGCCATCTGCAACTCCCACGCCATCAGGCTACTGAAGCGCTCGGGGCCCGAAGATGCCCTTCGGCACCTCTCTGCCGTGCGCCCATCGGGAGTGCGGTGCTGGTCGGCGGTGTCCGAATGCATGCGGGCACGGCTGTGGCGAGCGAGTCCAGGCCACGGAGACGAGGTGCCGAACCCAGCCCATTTGCTGGAGGCGTGGGAGGGGCCGGTCAAGAGCGGCATCCATCCCTTGGCCGCTACCCGCCAGAACGAAGGGCCGCACGCCTACGCCCGCGAGTTCATGACGCTGCACGCTGTCCTGGGCAGTGCCCCCGCAGGGGACGTCGACGCGTGCATGCGAGCCGTGGAAGACTTTGCGGAGGCGCGGTCTCTGTGGCTGAAGATCACCGCTTGGGAGAAGGCCATCGTCGTGCACGAGGCCGCCCGCCAGGCGCGGCCGAGGCTCGTGCTCGAGATCGGAGCCTACGTCGGCTACTCGGCCATGAACCTGGGGCGCGCGGTGCGCCCGCACGGCGGCCGCGTCGTCAGCCTGGAGGTGGACCCCATTCACGTCACGGTGGTGCGGAACATGGTCGAGTACGCGGGCCTCACCGACACCGTGGACGTGTGGACGGGGTACTGTTCGGACGTGTTCCCTCACCTCGTCGGCCGCTACGGGCCCCGCTCCATCGGCATGGTATTCATGGACCAGAAGGCCCCTGGGGAGCCCGCTGTCTCAGCCGCTCACAAAGGAGGAGGGGGGCGGTGGAGGAGCACGGGCACATTTCGACCGCGCTGGTTTTGCCCGCGGTCGGAAGCCGACCGCAGGCGAAACTGACCAGAGCGAAACCGACCAGGGGGTAACGAACCGTGGCGAAACCGAGGGGCGAAACCGATGGAGGCGAAACCGACCGCGGGCGAAGCCGACCTGACCCGGTGGAAGAGGAGGCTCAGGGGGGGAGGGCGAGGTGGGTGCTTGCTGGTCGACTCTCTCCAGGGGGGCCGAGGGCGTGGCGGCTGGGAAGCGCCGCAGACGGTTTGTTCAGAGCGGGCGTGGCAGCGGGGAGGGGCAGGGGGGTGCACGAGGAGGAGTGGGAGGAGGAGGAGGAGGAGGAGCAGGAGGAGGAGCAGGAGGAGGAGGCGGCTGACGAGGAGGTGGACGAGGAAGAGGAGGGGGATGATATCAATGAGGATGAGGAGGAGGAGGAGGCGGCGGAAGAGGATCAGATGGATCACTCGAAAGCCATAGGGCCTGAGGTAACAGGTAACAGGAAACAGGAGATGGAGACGAATGTGGATGTTGTGGTGGGGAGCCTCCATCGGGGCTGCTAGGGATCCTTGCTGAAGCCCTGTTGGGCTCTCCTGAGCTCTTGGGGCTCTCTTGGGGCTTAACAGAGTCTTCTTAGGTGAGTCTCGGGACAGGGAGAGTCTCAGGGCCGTCTTTAGCTCGTCTGGGAGCGGTCGTGGGCCGTCTTGGAACTGTCGGCCGTTATGCTGGCCACCTACGGACCTCTGGGGTATCCTTGCGGGCATCGTGGTGCCATCTTGAAGCCGCTTTGCCTCCTGAGAGCCTCTTGTCGAGCGTTCTGGAAAGTACGTGGGTTCCGTCTTGGGACCCTATGGACCGAACAGCATCGGCCTTGCTGCTGTCTTTACTTCGACGCGTCTTCGGAGGCCCCCCACCCCATCAGGAGCGGACCCGGGGCCGTCGGACGCCGCCGAAGTGGACAGGGCAGCAAAATCTCCGAGAGGCCCACCCTTCTTTGCCTTACTACGTCCTCCAGGTTATGTGGCTTTATCTGGGCGGAGGGGAAGGGAGATTCAAATAAGCAGCACTGCATAAACATACACTTGTGGAGTTCCGCGCGGATTTCTTGGAACTGCCCGGGCCCCCCCTGGCTGCGCGCCAGGGAGGGCGGTCCAGAGCCGATCCAGGAAATCTGCGCGGAGTTCCGAAAGTTGATCTTTATGCCGTTCTATGTTCCTCGAGAGATGGAGTCAGTCAGGGCACCCGCTTCCACCACGACTTGCGGCTACTGGAGGAGCTAGGCCAGCGCGCCCTCGTTTCCTAAATGTTCTAATTGCTTGACCTTTTTACTCTGGCCCCGTGATTTACTTGGTCTCTCGGTTCTTTGTCTGTCCACCCGTTCTGATCGGTTTGTTCTCATCCTACGTTCCTTGTCCATTTCATCGCAATTTTCCGTTACGGACTCTCCCCCGATGATCGAATCATTCTCTCCATGCAGATATGACCGGCCGACCGCCGTCCTGTCGTTGTCTACGTATGGCAGTGTCATTCGCTCCGTATCCCGTTTTCCCTGGACATCGTTCAGGAGCATGCGTTGCTCGGCTTTTCCCAACGCTCTGCCCTTCGGACTATCCCTCTCCCTCTCCGGCGGCGTTCCATGACGCCCTTTACAGAGCTCGGTTGTCGTGTTGCTGCGTCCCACCCGGGACCCTGCCATGAGGGCTTAGAGTCCGAATACAGCCGGCCCGGATTAGTAGGTCGACCCTGCCAAATCAAGGGTACCTTTGTGTCCTGTGTCTCGCGACCCATGCCTTCTACATTCCTGTGGCAATGTGGCCCTCGGAAGGGTCTTGTGTCCTCTCGCGTGTCCTCTCCAATGAAGTCCGATTGTACGTCCTCATCCCTTTCGGGACAGAGAAATTTTGGCACGCCGTTGTTGGGAGCCCATCGGCGGGCGAATTCTCTTCGTTCCTGTCCGAAGACAGCGTGTCTCTCCAGCAGCGGCACGCTGATGGGTTTCCGACGGCGGCGTGTCATTGCTACTACCGCTGTTCCCCTCCTCCCCCCCTCCTTCCTCTCCAGTTGCTCGGGCGAGGGAGGCGCACGACACACAGGAGCAGGGGGAAGGAGCGGACGACACGGAAGGATAGGAGGAGACGGAGAAATCGGGTTGGCATCGCTCGGACGGGTGCATTTTTCATGCGGCGAGGACCATCGAGGAGCATCCTTGATCATCTAGCGAAAAAGCCACGCACGACCTCGAAAAAAACACAGGGAATGGACGTCCGAGCGATGGCCGGTAGGAGGAGGCGGTGGAAGCTGAGGGTGGGGATGGGAGAGCTCGGCCTCCCGCCAGCACGCGCCGCCCCCCGCAGGCCTCCTGGAGGATGGGGCCGTGATCCTCGCGGACAACGTGCTGAAGCCAGGGGTGCACCCGCGCTGCCACCCGCGCTGCCGTGCTCGCCGTTTCCCTTCATCTGCCCCCGCCTTCCTCCACCTCCTCCTCCTCCTCCTCCTCCTCCTCCTTCTCCTCGTCCCCCTCCTCCCCCTGCTCCTCCTCCTCCTCCTGCTCTTCCCCTCCCTGCTCGTCGTCCTCCTCCTCCTCTCGTCCTCCTCCTCGTCCTCCTCCTCCCTCCTCCTCCTCTCCTCCTCCTCCTCCCCCTCCTCCTGCCCCTCCTCCCTCCCTCCTCCTCTCCTCCTCCTCCTCCCCCCCCTCGTCCTTCCCTCCCTCCTCCCTCCTCTCCTCCTGCTCCCTCCCTCCTCCTTCCCTACCTCTCCTCCTCCTCTCCACCACCTCCTCCTCCTCCTCCTCGTCCTCCTCCTCCCCCTCCCCCTCCCCCTTCTCCTCCTCGTCCCCCTTCTCCTCCTCGGCCTCCTTCTCCACGTGTACACACACCCTAGACGTCTCCACTGGCCCTCCTCCGTGAGGCAGTAGCTGGAGGAGGGAGGGGCGGAGAAGCAGTCGGACTGTGCTGGAGGTCAAGGCCGCGGGGAGATCGGGAGGCAGGTTCTCTAGCCCCTCGCCTCGGGCAGGGCCGGCTTCAGCTCCCCGTGCGCGTATCGGGGCCTAAGAGACGGGGGTCAGTGCAAACGGGGGTCAGCCAGAGCGCCAGATCCTGCAGGATCCTGCGAAGGCCCCCTCTGGCTGACCCGGGTTAGCGAGCCGCTCGTGGCCGCGAGGCGGCCGCTCGTATTGGCTGACCCGGGTTTGCGAAGACCTGCGTTGCAGTTTTTGTTTCCTGCATTGCAGTTTTTGGTTTCCTGCTGACCCGGGTCTAGATTGACCCGGGTCAGAAGATCCCCGAGCGTAGAGCAGTCCAGGCGCGCCCTGGGTTGTTGCACTGGTGTCGGGGCTTGCGCATCCTGCCGTGCCCGTCCTCCCTCCCCCTCTCGGACTTCGTGGGGCCTCCCTCGGCCGCGGAGGGCGGCTGCCAAAACTGGAGTGCCCCTCCCTTGGCTCTCGGGGTGAGAGTCTCTCGTCAAGACGGCGCGCAGACGTTTGCAAAAAACCGAGGGCGATCGACCGACCTCGGCCTTCGCGCTCCTGGACGCGACGGCCGGGCAGAGCAGCAGTGCCGGGAGGGCGGGGGGCCGCCGGGCCCCCCCTCCACCCGCCCAGGGTTTTCGGGGGCAGCGCCCGGGGGGATAGACCCATCGGGGGATGCATCGACCCCCAATCGCCCATTCGTCGCCGATAAGGGGCATGATAACCCCCCCCCCAGGAACGCGGGGATGCGCTATCAGGGGCCGACCGCCGATCCATCGGCGATGCATGGCCGATTCCAGCTCGACGCTTCCCCGCCAGAGCTGGTCCCCCCCCTATCGCTGCCCCTCAAGCCTCCTCCACGCGGAGCTTGACGGCAAGGGTACAGCCGGGACACCGGCCTTCGGCCCGCTCCTTAGAGATCTAGATCGGGGAACCGCCTGTGGCCAAGGCTCGCCCTGACCCCTGACCAAAGAAGCCCCTCCGCTCCCGATTCAGCGTGCCTTACGGTTGCACGATGTGGAGCGCCCGGGCACGAGGCTTAAGTCGGGCCCGTCCCTCTACAGGTGGAATATGCAAAAATTGTATAACATAGTCTGGGGACTATTTTTTGAGTATTTGTGTGGTTCGTCGAAAATCCCCCTGTAGGGGGATACGCCCGACTTAACACGAGGCCCACGCTGCGCGGCGAGAGCCGCTCGGGCCGCGTCTCGAGGCGGTCCGCCCCTCCTCGGGCCTCCCCCTGGCCTCTGCACTTCGTTTGCCCCCTGAGCTCGGGTGGCATCCCTGAGCACATCACGGGAGCCTGGTATGTCCTCGTGCGCCTCCGTGTTCTTCGGCGCAGGATCTCATGCGCGATCTCTTGTGGACGGATTGTCCGCGGCGGCAGCTTGTCCATAACCACCTCCTGGGGGAGCGATCCTCGGGGACCTCGGCAGGCGGTGGATATGGATAGGTCGCCCCCCCCGGTCCAGGGCCACATATCCTCGGGTCCACCGCCCGACGCTGACGATGCTTGCTTTGGGCCTCGTCTTCGGTAACTCGCTTCGTGTTTTACAGTTTGTCCATCGTCGAGTTGTTCGAACTCGCCTTTTCCAATCGCCGCTTTCTTTTTCCCCTATCCTGTCTCAACGCGCTCGGATTCGATCTGGTGGTGCCGTATCCACCGCCCGCTGGGTTCCCAGGATATCGTTTCCCTGGCGGTGGATGCGGATAAGACCCCGCCTCGCGAGCTGGGCCCGTCTGCGTGCGCTTGGCCCGCCGCGCTGGAAGCTCGAGCAGGGGGCCCGCCATCCGCTGCCTCGTTCTGGCGTGCACGAAGTCGTTTCCTATTGGCCTCTGGGGCCGCGGGCAGGGTGTTTTCGAGCGCTGGCGCTCGTGTGGTCGAGCTGCCATCTGTTCTTCGTCTTGGCATCGCTCGGACGTGGGCGAGGGGCACCGGAGAGCCTGTTGGCTCATCTTGCGAAGCATAAGCGCACGACCGAGCGATGACAAGCCGTGGTGAGTCCCCTTGGAGTGCCACAGCAGACCAGGCAGTGAGTCCTGCACTCGCGCCTAGGGACATCATGACCACGCTCCGCGTCCTGTCGTGGGTGCCAATCGCCTGTTGAAAGTATGTACTTCTGGATTTCTCGATTGCCATGCACTGCAGGCGCCTTCCCATCTCAAGATCCGAAAGGTTTCCCCTCTCCCTTCCTTGCCAGGGGGCGGGCGGAAACTCAATGTACTTTCTCAACGCCTTCCTGCTTCATATTTCTGCCAACCTCTTCAACATATGGATGCGGCGAACGCCCCCCCGCGAGCGCGGGAACGAGCCTCACCTGGGGCTCACGGCCTGCGTCTCTGAGCCCATGACTGGCCGCTCTGCAGGGAGCGATTCCCAGGCATTGCGCCGCCTGTCCAGGCAGGACCCTCCAATATTCCCGCTCGAGGTTGCTTGCGGACTCAAGCCAATTGGATTGAGGCTAAGTGGCTGCGACGGACGCCTTCCTCCTGTTCCAGATCCTTGCCCTCCAATCTAGATGTTTGCATGTTCGTCATCATAAGCCTCTCCGTTACCGTCACGACTACACCATTCATCCTACGTTCCTTCCTGCGACGCATCCCCCCTCCACCTGTTTCTGATACCCCTTGTTATCTCATCCTTCTCCTCCTGTTGCCTGTTGCCTGGAGTGTCGGTTAGACGCAGCCCTCCTCCTCCTCCTCCTCCTCCTCCTTCTCCTCCTTACTCGTTCATCATCCCCTCCACCCCTCAGGATATGCCCTTCCCCTCTCCTCCCTGTGCCCCTTTTGCTCTTCATCCCCCTCCTCGTCGTTTCCCCTGACGTTCCACACAGAAAGAGGTGGACGCCGAAGTAGGGTTATGCAGAGCAATCCCCGACACCCCAGCAGCAGCTTGCAGGGCTCGCGATAGCGCGCACGTTTCTAGAGACATCGTTGCATATCAGATGAAGGAGAAGAAGTCAATAATTATGATATGCTGCATCATGGCTCACATCTCCCAGATTTCAGGTGCACGCTATGTGGTACAGCACAGGTGGTGCACGCTGGAGGCGGCAACGAAGCGGCAACTTTTGTCAACGTAGCGACACCTAGTCGCACCGACACAAAGCATGAGGCGGCAACGCGGTGGCAACGGGCTGCGACGTGGCGAGATCTCGCCTCGGCGCACCGACCCAGGACGCCGCAACGGGCGGAGGCGGCAACGAGTCGGCCAGGGGCGTAAACGTGGCGAATCCTCGCCAGACCCAGACAGCGCACGAGGCGGCAACGAGGCGGCGAAAGGCGGCAGCGTGGCGAAGCATCGCTGGACCCATCCAGCACGAGTGGCGGCAACGAGGTGGCAACGGGCGGCAGCGTGGCGAAACCTCGCCGGACCCACCCAGCGCACGTGGCGGCAACGGCGCCGCAACGTGCGGCAACGAGGCGGCAACGGGCTGCGAAATCTCGCCAGACAGACCCAGCGAACGAGGCGGCAACGAAGCCGCAACCGACGGCAACGTGGCGAAACCTCGCCTGACCCATCTAGCGCACGAGGTGGCAACGGGCGGCATTGCGGCGAAGCCTCGCCAGACCCATCCAATTTCATAGTGGCCGAAAAGTACTTCGACCGTATCTGCTCAGTTTCGCGCCCCGCCTGAGCGCCAGCGCCTTCAAGCCGCTGCCCAGATTGAGCCTTGCTTCAGCCATCTGCTTTCGCATGCAGCCTTCTGCTGTGCCCCTTCCCCAGTGGCAACGTTAGGAGGGGGATAAGCTCAGAATGGATGCATCGACCCCCAATCGCCCATTCATCGCCGACAGGGGGCCCGATGGCCACCCCGCGCAGGACCCTGCGGATTCGCTGTCGAGGGCCTGTCGCCGATCTATCGGCGACGTATCGCCAATTCCGGCTCCTCGTTTCCTCCCTTCCTCGGAACCGTTACCCCCCCCACACGTTCCCCCTCATTTTCTTCCCTGCTCTGGCTCAAAGGGGGCCTGCCGCCATGGAGGGGCTGCCAGTGGGCGCCCAGGCCAGGATATCAGGCATCACAGGCTCTGTCCTCTCTACTCTCCTGTTCTTTCATTCTCCTCCCCCTCCTCCCTCCTCTCCCTCTCAGCTCCCTCGCCACATCTTCACATTATGAGTACTACTCTCCTTTCCCCCTTGACTCTGTCCAGAAGATTTCCCGCCCTCTCTGCATATTGTTTCCCACATCGGAATTCCACAATTATTATGTTTGGAATTTTCTTCCAGATCATATTGTGGTCTCCCGCGTTCCTCGTATCCTTCCTCCTCCACTTTCTCCCATCCCTGTCTGCACTCTGCATGCGCACTCCGACACACCCCTCACACGGTTCATGGCCCCACAGGAAGCTCCACCGAAGGCCCAAAAGGCAGTGCCCGCATATCGGCACCGCTCCAATTTCGTTACACACCTCACACGCTCCGTAGCCCCATAGGCAGCTCCACCAAATGGGAGCACCCACATGGCGGCACCGCACCGATTTCGGCACACCCCTCACACGTTGCGTGGCCCCCCATAGGGAGCTCCACCGAAGGCCCAAGTGGCAGAGCCCGCATAGCGCCGCCGCGCAAATTTGGGCACGCCTCATACAGTTTGTGGCCCCATCGGGAGCTCCACCGAAGGCAATGCCAGCGCCCGCATGGCGCCGCCGCTCCCATTTCGGCACACCCCTCACGCGCTTCGCGGCCCCATAAGGATCCCCACAGAAAGCCTCCGTGGCAGCGCCCGCATGGCGCCGCCGCGCCCATTTGCACATGGTAGGGTCTTTCGCCAGGATAATCGTGTGTCCAATCCGGTAGGTTTCGGTTGTTTACGATGGTGTTCGAGTTGCAGTGCTGGCCTCATTTCTGCCTTCCCGGTCCTTCAAAATTGTGCTCCCGCTACAAAGCTGGTCTCTTTGGCGCGTGTTCAGTCCTTCCGAATGGTGCTCCCGGAGCACCTGCCTCATGTCTAAGTTGTCCGTCTTGCCGGTATGTGTTTGCGTTGCAGCTATAACCTCATGTCTGCGTCTTCGTTGTTTTTTTCCGAATGGTGCTCAAGCTGCAGCACCGTCCTCATCTCCAAGTGATCGGTCCTCCAACATGGATTTCTGGACTACACCGTTCATGCAGCCACGACATGCAAGTCAATGCTATGTTATGTGCACCCGTGAAACGATTGCACGCGTTGCCCTGCAATACTGTGGCATGCAACGCTGGGCTTCGCAGTGCAGTCATCCAATGGCATACCATGCAATACTATATTATGTACCGCTATGCGATGGCATGCCTTATGCTGCAGTGCTACGATATGCAATGCTTGCGTATGCAGTGCTATGCCATGTCATGCGTCGCGTACCCTTTGGGGATCATTGCCTTCTTCAACATCCGATTGTGCTAGCAGAGAGGGTATCTACGCAATAGCAAGGACTGGGAGGAAGGAATAGGACGTCACATGTGACGCGAACGTACGGTAGGTTCCTGCGGCGTTGACGCGCTGGCAACGCCAGCGAAGGCGTTAAAGGTTGAATTTTGCGACGCGGAAGCACCGATGGGCCCGGTAATGCCATTGGGCCCGACTGGATTTAACCTTGAACAATCGAGGCCGCGATCGATTCAAGATTGAACGATCGACGCGGTGTCAAAAACCTTTACGCGCGCCGACGCCGCACGAACCTACCGTACCTAGCTTGCCTTCCTCCCTTAGCATCCCTCCTCTCCTGTGCTCTCCCTCTCCCCCCCGTTCTTCCTCCCGCGCCCCGCCTCCCCCCCCGCTCCTCTCCCTCATCCCCTCCGGAGGAGAGGAGAGAAAGCTCATTTCCTCCTCATCCTCCGAGGGGGAGGAGAGGGACCTCGCCTCCTCTCCCTCCTCTCCCTCACCCCTCCTCCTCCTCATCCCTCCAGGAGGAGCGAGTCGCTCCACCTGGAGGGGGAGGATAATGACAGGGACCTGGAGGAGGACGAGGGGCAGGAGGTGGGCGGATGAGCTCGGAGGAGGAGGGGGGGAGATGCGGGGTAGTAGGAGGCAGGAATCAGGAGGAGGAGGAGGAGGAGGAGGAGGAGGAGGAGGAGGAGGAGGAGGAGGAGGAGGGGGGGGAGGAGGCAGCGGGGGAGGAGGCAGCAGGAGGCAGCGGGAGGAGGGAGTGGGAGGTCGGAGGGACGGGGCCCCCTCCCTCACTTCCCGGCCCTCCTCCACTTCGGCACGCCTCTCACGCGTCTCGTGGCCACAGAGCTCCAACTAAGCCTCGACTGCCAGGGTACCCATGGCGCCGCCGCTCCCATGTCGGCATACCCATCACACGTCCCATGGGTCCACAAGGAGCTCCAACGAACGCCCAGGCAGCAGGACTCGCATGGCGTACCCGTTCCCACTTCGGGACGCCCCGCACGCGTTTCGTGGCCCCAATGGGCGCTCCACCGATGGCCCTAGCGCCATGGTCCGCATGGCGTGCCCTCTCCCAGTGTGGCACACGTTCACGCGTGCTGTGGCCCCATCAGGATCTCACCGAAGGCCCCAGCGGTGGTGTTTGTATGGTGCCATTCCGCACGGATCTGCCCGCCAGTCCGTCAATTTGCTCGCCCCCCGTCAGTTTGAACTTGCCTCGCAGTGCCCGCTGCTTCAAATGGTTCGGCCGCTCGCCAGGATATTTTCACGACGTGGGCCGCTGGAGGTCTTTACTCATTCCTTGGGTTACGGGGGAATCATAGTAAACCCATCCATTGAAGTGGAGCGACACGTGAATGTAACACCACGTTGGTTGGAATCTGAGTCGGGGTCGTTGAAGTGCAGACGTTTTAGTATTGTCAGAGTCGTTTCCAAGAAGCGCTTGTATCACAGTGGTGTCGGAAAGCAAGGACTACGTGGAAAGCGCCGAGTGAACACACACAGAGTGGACATGCGCACAGCGTTTTGAGTGATCTTTCAGCCACTTTGCAACAACGTCGCAACTAGGGAGCTACAGAGCAACACCAGGTTCGACCGGACCATTGCCCTGAGTGTACGGAGCAAGTCGTAATCAAGCCGCCCGATGTAGTGGAACATACCGTGCATGTCTCAAACGAGTGCGTCGGATAGAGAGAGATATAGACAGCATCGGATGAGAGACAACGACAGCAAGACACCGACCTCAGCCCTAAGAAGGGTACCCTTGGCTGACCAGGGACCATATTGGTCAGGAGCATGCCGACACGGGATACTTACAACAGCAAGTCCGTGGGAATCGCAGCTGAAGTCGTGGAAGTGCAACCATCTTGAGGTGGAGGGTCTTTGTTTTGAATCCGCAGCGCCGCCACGTCCTCATTCTTTCCTCCCCTCCTACCCCATCCCATCCCTGCCTCTCGCCTCCCTCGAGTCACCCCTCACACGTTTCGTGATGTCACAGAGTGCTCCACCGAAGGTCCCAGTGGCCGTGTCTGCATGACGGCGCCGCCCCATCTCGGCACACCCCTCACACGTATCGTGGCCTCCATATGGAGCCCCAGCGAAGGCCCCATTGGCAGGGTTCGCACGGAGGCGCCACCCCTACAGGGAACTCCACAGAAGGCCCCACAGGCAGGGTTCGAATTGCGGCGACGCCTTGCACGCTTCGTGTTTCGTGGCCCCACAGGGAGCTCCACCGAAGGCCCCAGTGGCAGGGTTCGCATGGCGTCGCCCCCCCCGTTCGGGCACCCTCGTTAGACGTTTCGTGTCCCCAAAGGGGGGTGCATGCCCCAGTGGCAGCGCCCGCGTTGTGGCACCACCCCATTCTGGCGCACCCCTCTGATTTTTCGTAGCCCCATAAGGAGGTCCACCAACGGCCCCGATGGCAGCGCCCGCATGGCGGAACCGCCCCATTCTGGCACACCCCTTCACGCTTGTTGGCCCAGGGAGCTCCCTTTCCTTCGCCACCGAGGTATAAGATCCAGGTCTGCTCTGGGAGGGCCCCCTCGAATGTTCTTCAGTTGGGCCTGGCGGAGGGTCTCGTGTTCTTGAAGGCTGTTTTTCTGTCCCAGGCTCGTCCGTGTTCACGCCTGCGCATGGTTGGGTTCGTCGCCAGGAGAATTTCAGTCCTGGGGTTCGGTGAGGGCCCCTGGAGGTCGAACACATCAAACCACGATGGCGACGCGAGTTTGTGAACGACGCGCAGGGGTCTTGGTCTGCCCCCTCCTGCTCCCCTTGCCTCATGCTCCCCCTCCTTTCCTTGCCTCCCCCTCCTCCCCTCCGCCCCCTCCCCCCCTTCTTCCTCCTTCCTCATTCCTCCTCTTCGTCCTCATCATTCCCTCTTCCTCCTCATCATTCCTCATCCTCATCCTCCCCCCACCCCCGCCTCCTTCTCCCCTTGCCTCCCCCTCCTCCTTCCTCCTCGAGGGGAACCCGCGCTCAACGGCCGGTGCTGCGTGGTGCTGGGCCCGGCCGCCAGCGCGGGGCGGAGCCAGGTCGCCGGCCAGGGCCAGGGCCCAGGGGGGGAGGAGGAGGGAGAGAGCATAGGGGGGAGGAGGAGGAGGAGGAGGAGGAGGAGGAGGAGGAGGAGGAGGAGGAGGAGGAGGAGGAGGAGGAGGAGGGAGGAGGAGAGATAGGAGGAGGAGGAGGCGAGGAGGAGGAGGAGGAGGAGGAGGAGGAGGAGGAGGAGATGAGGACGACGAGGAGGAGGCGGAGGAGAGCGGAAGGAGGAAGGAGGAGGAGGAGGAGGAGGAGGGGGAGGAGGACGAGGAGGTTCAGAGGAGGGCCAGTTGAGACAACGGTGGTTGGCCCACGAGCGGGGGGCGGGGGGGGGCCTCGTCGCCACGGCTGGACGCAGCTCGAAAAAATGATGCGTTTGGACACCAGGAAAGGTCCGTGAATCGATTTTGAGCTGTTGTTGTCTCGACTCGCCCAGCTCTGAGAGGGAGTGGCGAAGAAGAAGAATAATAACAATAGTAAATAGTCGCGAGGATGAGGAAGGATGAAGGAGGAGGGTGGGGAAGTGGCGAGGAGGAGTAGTAGGAGGAAGACGGATGAGGGAGGAGGGAAGAGGAAGGAAGGGATGAGGGACGAGGGACGACAGAGAGGAGTTTGGGAGGGAGGAGGGGTGGAAGGGGGAGTGGCGGAGGTTAGTTCATCAGCGATCTGATGGCATAATCAAACGCTATCTGTTTGGCGACAGCTGGCGGAGGCTGCCAGCTGCCTAACTGGCTGCGGCCTCTCTCGCCTAGCCACAGCCAGGAGCGTTTGCATACCAATCGTCTACGGGAGAGCCTCTACTCCAAGGGACATATCATGAGAAGAGGAGGGAGGGGAAGTGGCAAGGAGGAGCACATAGTACGAAGGAGGATGGGTGAGGGAGGAGGACAGGGGAATCCGGAAAGTAGGAGCAGAAGCAGATGGCGGGAGGAGGCGGTGGAGGAGAGGGATGAGTATGAGGCGTGATGGCTATACTTAGTCGCTGAGAGTGGAAAACGTGGGCGAACTTGTGCAACGTGGTCGTGCAGTGGCGATGCAGATGTGGAGGGTAAGGAGCGGGCGTGTCAGAGTTATTGAGCCCGCAGATTAGGAGTCACTGCGGGCCTCACCACGGGGAAACTGAGCACGAACATTTCGCAACCAACGAGGACGCAAACGTGTAGAGTGTGGACAGGAGGAGAATTCTGATTGACTCTTGCTGGTTGCGCCACCGTGCTGGCAGAAGAGGAGGATGGGAAGACGGACGATCCAGAGGAGTAGGATGAGGGATGAGGGATGAGGAGGATGCGCATTGGTAATCCAAGCGCTCCGCCGATGCGTCCGTGTCTTGAGGCTGTCTTGGGGCTCTGTCGAGGCCGATTTGAGAGCTTCTTGGGCTCGGTGGGGCCTCTGCTGGGGGCCTCTGGGGGCACCTGGGAGCCTCTTGCGGGGTCCGGGGGCCGGTTCGGCGGAACCTGGGACCGTTTGGAGGGCGTGCTGGGGCCTTCTTGGGATGTGTTGAGGCCCTCTTGGGCTTTTTCTGAAGCCCTCGGCCTCTCCTCTGCGCTCCGTGGTCCGTGTTGGCCACTCTTGGGGCTTCATGAGCCGTGTTGGATGCCTTGAACAACGAACAAGCGAACATGCCAAACTCATACGACACCCTGCGGGGAACAGATGCTTGAAGCCTGTCGCAGGGCTCTTGAGATCCTCTCGGTACTCTCTGGGGCCGTCTCAGGAGGTCGTTAGTACACCTTGGAGCAATACTACGCCGTCTTTGCCCCATCTTGGCCGTCTTGATGGTTTCCTTGCGGCGTGTTGGAGACCTCTTGGGGATGCCTCACTTTTTGCTGGCTCATCTTGAGACAATCTGTAGGCGTGCTAGCGCCACCTCCCTGAGCACCAGGACCATCCGTCAACGGGTTGTGAGCCTTCGAGCGGCCAGTTGGTTGGATCATGCGAGGCCCCCACCCGTTCCGCTCCGCACCATCGCTTGTACTGCTACTAAGCAAAATATAACCCCTCTACCTAATAGAACAATGACTTCGTGGCCTTAGTTAGGTCCACGATGCTCAGGTCTACCACTACAAACATGTGGGTGATTTTGCTTGGTACATCTGCATCAAAGACCCCATATCCCGAATACTTCCTCAAGAATCACATTCCCTCCCAAATTATCATGGGTACTTCTATTGCTTATCACATTGCAAGATTCCCCCGTTCCCACCCCTCGCTCGTCAACACGACCAAGGCCGCCTTTGCTCCCATCGTCGTTGGACCGCTGGGGCCTAACATTTTCGTAGCCTGGTGTGCCGCTGTTAGTTTACCAGGGATGGTTTTCTAGTTCCGATTTTCTGGCGAGGTGCTCGTAAGCAGGGCAGGGAGGGAGCATGCATGAAACAGAGGGGACACTAGTCATGCCGAAGTTGGGTCAGCCCGTGAACCCTGGACCTTAATGGCCAACTTGAGGACAGGGCAGTGAGAGAGCATGCATGAAAGAGAGGGACACTAGTCAAGCCGAAGCTGGGTCAGCCCGTGAATCCTGGACCTTCATGGCCAACTTGGGGACCCCCTGGGAGCACCTTCTTGAAGCGCTCTTGACGTTTTTCAAGGCGTTTGGGGCTGTCCTCGGGCCGTACTGGAGGCCAGCGACAAACTAGGGATGGCGTCAGTTCGCCCTTCCGCGAAGCGAAGCGGCTGGAGAGAATCCAGATTGGGGAATTTCGAGGAACCGACCGAAGCAGCCGATCACCTGGAGCTTCGAATCACCGTCGTGGCTTTTCCGCAGCGCGAGGATATTGTTTTCGGATCTACAACTGCACCAAACACCTGAGTGGACAGTTGCCCAGGATGCTGTATGCGCAGACGACGCAGCGCTGACATCTCCATGTTTGAGACATATGCAGCTTCTGCAGGGCGCTACGACCCAGGACAGTCAAACATTTGGCTTCGCACAGGTGTGGGAAAGGACAGCGCAGATTGAACCGCTTAGTACTAACAGAGTGAGAAGACTGGGCGGATAAGCGACCAACGTTGTTACACAAGCCGTATACCTCTGAGGATAAATTCTCGCAAAACGCACGAATGGGAAATTATGCCATCAGGTGTCTGGGATAGAGTGCGTTTGCATTTCAGCAACGATGTAAGATGTTGACACCCTGTTCCATTGATGAGCAACGGCAGCTACTGACATACACAGCGTGCCTCTTCAGCAAGCTCTTGTATGATTCGTACACCTCGCTGTTTGCAGACTTGATGTTTTTTGCCTGTGCAAATGCCCGTGGAAAGTCCTCGGGATGGTGTCGCCTTCTTGTTCGAGGGTGTCTAAAGACCATGTTACTGGTTGTCCAAGTCCACTCCGCAATCCTTCGTGACCGCCAAGGTAATGTTTTATAATGGTTGCCTTTCTGAGCCACGCGTCAGTAGTTAACCAGCTCGTGCGCGATGCCAACAGAAGCCGTAGAAGTTGGTCTCCTGAGCGTAAAAGCCGGGGTCGTCCGAGACAGCAGTGGACACAATGTGTGCATGTTGTGGCACGCGAGTGGACTTATAGTTGTCGTTCTTTCTGCCCCCCTCCCCGCCTTCTTTCCTCCTCATCCTCCCCCCCCGCAGCCCTCGGATATGTCTGTCTCTGTTTGCCGTGGGAGCTTGCGACAGGCAGCAGGCAAATTTCGGTCGTACCGTCCCATCTTCGATTTGAGGCTGGTCCCTGATATGGTTCAGCCCTCGTCTTTTGTTTTCTCCTTCTCCTTCGCCCTCCTCTCCCTCGGCGATGTGCGCGTCTGTTCTGCACACTGGGTGGGGAAGTAAACGGCCTTCAAGTGCAACCCAACCCGTCGCACCAGCATGTCTTTCCACCATGGCTGATTTGTGTGGAGGCCTTCGCATTTTATCGCTTGCTGCTTCCGCCTGCTGTGACCAGCCTGGGTCCGTGGTCTAGTTGTGCGTCTTTGGTCCTACTTCTGCCTGCCAACGTGCAATCATCTATGTAGCCCAATCGCTTTGTTGACGCAGTGCTTCAGCCAGTCAGATACAAGGTCTTGCCTCCTCAGGTGCAACGTCTGCGGGGGATTGGCCCAAGGGGGGACGCACCGACCCCATATCGCTCACCGGTCCTCGAGAAGGGGCTGGAGGGCCCTCCCCGCCCAGGGCTCTGTGGCTTCGCAGTCGGAGGCCCATCGCCGATCCATCGTTGATGTACCGCAGATTCCAGTTCAAGTGCCCCCCCCCCCTGAGTCCGTCCGCCCCCAACCCCTGTTCCCCCTCTCCTCCTCCTGCTCCAGCGCGAACAGTGGGAAGATTTGGAAAAGAAGTGTTGCTTCAGCACGTGAGGGGATACGACGGAAGCTCCAAGGAATGTGAGCTGCGGCCCATTCCGCCCATCCCCCCGTGAACGCGCTCCGGCTTGTTCGCTCGGCTTGGTTCGCTCGTTCGCTCCCTCCTGCTCGGGCTCGATGCATCGCACATGTCGCGAAGTCCAGGGGTGTGCTCCCCCCCTGCGTGAGCCCGCCCCTCCCCCCAAACCCCTTGCAGGTGAGGCTGTCCTGCGGCCGGGAGCTCTCCGTGCGCGCCGAGGGCCTGCGCCCCGCCGGAGGCGGCCCGCCGCGCGAGCTTCGGGGCCCCGCCTGGCTCTGGATGGTGAGGGCCTGTGAGGGATGAGGAGGAAGAGGAGGCGGGGGAGGAGGAGGAGGAGGAGGAGGAGGAGGAGGAGGAGGACCAGGAGGAGGGAAGAGCCAGCGTGTCCGTCCACAGCGTTGGTCTTACATATGTATGTATGTATGTATGTATGTATGTATGTATGTATGTATGTATGTATGTATGTATGTATGTATGTGTGTGTATGTTTGTATGTGTGGATGTGTGGATGTGTGTGTATGATGCCGTGTATGTATGTTTGCATGCACTCATGCAGGTGCGTGTGCTGGTATGCGATACATGCATGTGTATAGTATGTATCTGGTTGTTTTCGTCTCCCCTCCCCTGGAGCTCTCCGCGGCGAATAAACTTGTCCCGAAACTCGTCCGCTCCCGAAACCTCTCCTCCTCAAAGTGCAGCTCTCGCCTTAGCGCCGCGCACATTCGTGTTAAAAGCTTGCAGCAGTTTCAAGGATGGAGGGCTCGTGTTGTTCAAAGTGCAGATCTCGCTTTAGCGCCGCGCACACTCGTCTTAAAAGCTTGGTTTCAAGGATGGAGGGCTCGTGTTGTTCAAAGTGCAGATCTCGCCTCAGCGCCGCGCACATTCGTCTTAAAAGTTTACAACAGTTTCAAAGATGGAGGGCACGCGTGGTTCAAAGTGCAGCCCTCGCCTCAGCGCCGCGGGGCACCCCTACACGACAGAGGAATTCTGAGCGCGTTTGTAAGACTAGTGCAATATAACTCCACGCGTTCGTCGTCGAAGGCGCTTCTACCAATCTTCTCTTTCTCGCCCTGTTTGCAAGACTATTGTGGCATGCGCTAGTACATATGTAATGCATGTATAAATCTTCAGCGGCGGGGCGCCGATTAGTTTCCCGCTATTGGCCGCCGTGCTGAATAATGTTGGGGGGTTCTTTCTCGCAGAGAATAATGCCCCGTGGGCAACCCTACACGACAGAGGAATTCTGAGCGCACTCAAAAGAGAAGTGCAATATGTATATATCTATATATATATATCCATCTGTTTGTCGCCGAAAGCGCTCTTGCAAATATTCTCTTTCTCTCGTTCTGCTTGCAAGAGTATTAACTGCGCTAGTGCATATGTAATGTATGTATTCATATTCGGCGTCGGCGCCCGCGCCGCGGGGCACCGATTAGATTCCCACTATTGCGCGCCGAGCGGACTATTGTTGGGGGTTCTTGCTCCCAGTGAATAATGCCTCGTGGGCTGCCCTACACGACAGAGGCATTCTGAGCGCGTTTGTGAGAGGATTGCAACATGGACCCACTCCTTTGTCGCCGAAGGCGCCCCTCACAATTTTCTCTTTTTCTCAACAGTCGAAAAGTTTGCAACAGTTGCAAGGGTGGAGGGCTGGTGTGGTTCAAAATGCAGCTCTCGTCTCAGCGCCGCGCGCACTCGTCTTAAAAGCTTGTAACAGTTACAAGGATCGAGGGCTGGTGTGGTCCAAAATCCAGATCTCGCCTTAGCGCCGCGCGCATGCGTCTTTGTCTTCGTCGTCGCATCACTGTCGTAGTCGCAATCGCACACGTACTCGTTATCGTCTTCGTCTTCGTCTTCGTCGCTGGACCGCCCGAACTATAATTATGTTCCGCTATTGTCGGGCGGGATCGTTTTTCCGAGTTGTCAATGAATTCGCCCGAATGATACTTATTTTCCATATATTGGCCAGGGGATTTCTAAAGACTTAACGGTGTTATGTATGTACGCCTGTTCGTATGCATGTGTGTACATATGAATGTGTGTATACACGCACGCACGCACGCACGCACGCACGCACGCACGCACGCACGCACGCACGCACGCACGCACGCACGCACGTATGTATGTATGTATGTATGTATGTATGTATGTAGCTATGCATGTATGTAGCTATGTATGTAGCTATGTATGCAAATGTGTGTATGCATGGGTGTGTGTATGCATGCATGTATGCATGCATCCATATATGCATGCATGTATGCATGCGTGAATGTGTGTGCGTATACATGCATGTGTTCATGCATGTATGTATGTATGTATGTATGTATGTATGTGTGTATGTATGTATCTGTGTGTGCATGTATGTATGTATAGATGTGTTTGCATTCACGTGTGTATGTGTGTATGTAGATATGTGTGCATGCCTGTGTGTACATGTTTGTGTGTAAGCTTGTATGCTTGCATGCATGTAGATATGTGTGTGGATGCGTGTATGTATGTATGTATGCGTGTATGCATGTATGCATGCAGGCATGTATGTCTGCATTTGTGCATGTGCGCGCAGGTACATACATACATACATACATGTATACATATATACATACATATATATATATATATATGCATGTGTGTATGCAGGCATAGGTGTATGTGCATGTACATGTGTATGTGTTGGTGCCGTGTTTGTACATGTACATGGTCATGCAACTGTACATACACGAGTACATGCGAACGTACATGTACCTGTACATGTATATGTATATGTATACGCATATGCATGTGTACATGCGTATGTATAGGTGTATGTCGAATCACCTGTATACGTATACGGACATTCGTACATCTATGTATAAGTATATATATGTGTAGTTGGATTTGTCTATGCCTATGCCGATGTCTATTTATGTATATACACATATACGTGTATCTATATACAAGCATCTATATACATGAATATCATACATGTATGTATATATCCGTAAGGGCTTCGCCCCATGCCGCCGGCCCCCTGTCTCGGATAATGGGAGATGCAACAGCTAAATCATGAGGTCTGGGCGCCGCCGTGAAGCAGTGTCTGGACCTGTTTGTTTTTCGACCCTGACCCCGCCGATCTGCGTGAGGGGTGCCAGCGAATGTCAGAACTGTGGCAAATCCTTTGTGTTTTGGCACCCTGACCCCGCCGATCTGCGTCAGCGGTGCCAGCGAATTTCAAACATGTGGCAAATCCCTTTTGTTTTTTGACCCTGACCCCGCCGATCTGCGTGAGGGGTGCCAGCAAATTTCAGACATGTAGCAAATCCATGTGTTTTTGGACCCTGACCCCGCCGATCTGCGTGAGAGGTGTCACTGGATTTCAAAATGTGGCAAATCCCTTATGCTTTTGGACCCTGACCCCGCCGATCTGCATGAGGGGTGCCACCGAATGTCAGAAATGTAGCACATCCCTTGTGTTTTCGGACCCTGACCCCGCCGACCTGCGTGAGGGGTGCCAGCGAATTTCAGAAATGTGGCAAATCCCATGTGTTGTGAGGCAGGAAAAGGAGGAGGAGCAAAAAGAGGGAGGAGGAGGAGCAGGAGGAGGAGGGAGGAGGAGGAGGAGAAACAGGGTGAGCAGGAACGCGCCACATGCGCCCGCCAGCCGCGCCGCGTGTTGGGCAGGGAGCGAGGTCGCATTCGGACAACGCCGCGTTGGCCGGGGGAACCAGGCGGCTGGGGCGGCGCAGCTGGGCCCAGTTCGGCCAAGCGCAGAAGGGGGAGGGGGGCGGAGGGAGGGGGGGGAAGGCTTCTTAGAAGCACCCCCTTCCTTAGAAGGCGCGGGCGCCCCTTCTGAGAAGCTTGTGGCTGCTTCCCAGAAGCTGTTCATGGCGTGCTTCCAATGAGCAGGTGGACTGTTTCTAAGAGGCTGCTATTGCTTCGAAGCAACAATTCCGTGTTTCTGAGAAGCTTCTGGGGTGTTTCGAAGAAGCGAAACGCCATCGGGCTTCTCAGATGTGCGGGCGACTCCTTCTAAGAGGAAGCCGCCTTCTAAGCAGCTGTCCCCTCTCCCTCTACCCCCTTGTGCGCGCCGCCAAGCGGTACAGGGCTTTCCTGCGTCGTCATGGCGCTGTTGTTTTGTTCGGCGGCGGCCAACAGGGGGCCGATGTCCAGGGAGGATCTCATGGCGGGGACCGAGATCTTTCGGAACCGGCGCTTACGCATCGCGCCCCAAGGCCGGCGTTCTGTCAGCGTTTCGGAACTGTTCCATAGTTGCCGCTGGCGAGCGGGACGAGTCGATGTGACTGCTGGAACACACCAGGCGAAGGCACAGCGTGCACAGATGTGCCCACGCAGAGCTGAGCTTGCGCGCACCTGCCAGTTGCTCGTGCCCTGTCTCTGGCCACCAAAATATGTAAGCGATGTTTATAGAACATTCGCGTCACTGACAACATCGAGCCTAAGGTGGTGGAGTGGAGAAAGGGGTGAAGCACGACGGAGAATGCGAAGGGTGGGAACTGTACACCTGCATCCTCATCACTCACCCATCCTATCCCTCTTGTCTTTCCGTTGTGCCTTCCGCCTCTTCCTTCACCCCTCCTCGTTTTCCCCCGCTGTTCCTCCTCCAGCTCCTTCTTCTCATGTTGCCCTTCCTCCTCCTCCTTTTTCGAATATGTGTCAGTTTGTATTTATATATGTACAGATATTCCTTCCTGCCGCACCCCGAAGCCAGCGGGAGGGCGGGCCCAGCGTTTTGCTTGGGACATCCTCACCAGCCATGATCCTGAAGTGTACACTTCGGCAACAGGTTTTCAACATGTGGTTCTCCCGTTTCTGTCGCGCACATATTTGAAAATATATGCTAAGGTTTCACGGGTTGTGGGCGGCCCGTTTTCAAACGGTGGTTCTTGCCCCAGCGCCGCGCACATTCACTTGAACAAATTGCAAGGGGTTCACGAATTGAGGGCGGGCCGTTTTTTGAATGTTGTCCTCGTTTTTGTGCCACGCGCATTCTTTTCAAAAGTTTGCATGAGGTTCACGGGTTAAGGCGATTATGTTTAATTTGCGCCGCGCGCACTCTCACGGTTCAGGATTGACAGGGCGCAACAGTTTCGTTGTTTCGCTATGTTTTCGTCCCAAGAATAGGGTTATGGCACGGCTCGGGATCGTCAAGACGTAACAGTGAAGTTTAGTCGTGGCGTTGAAGTTCTTGGATTGGTGGTTTGGCACGGTTCTGGATCTTCCAACGGTTGTCTCCCAACGGTG